TCACATGAATAAATTTCATTTTAAAGTATATTAAAATAGAAAACCATTATTTAAAATGGCAATAATATTTCACAATATTACTGTTGTTTCTGTATTTTTTTATCAAATAAATGCAGCCTTGTTGAGCAGAAGAGACTTCTTTAAAAACATAAAAAATCCTTGATCCCAAACTTTTGAATAGCAGTGTATATATATATATATATATAAATAATTTTCAAAGAATTTTTGAATAGGATATTTGCCATTTGTACCTTTCTGCTCCTTGTGACAGCGTCCCATCAACAGAGAGGTGAAGCTCGAAGAATTCTCCCAGAAACAAAGTCACTCCTTTCCTCTTTTCATGAGAGAAATCACCTAGACGTAAACATGCACACAAAAGCAGGCATTTTATCATCTTGACAGTGTATAAACTCGGCCATAGCTTGTTTAATTCATGAAAACCTGTGTTTATGTGTGTGACTGGCTTTTACCCAGTATGGAGAAGCTTCTGTGTTGGCAGTCTCCCACCAGCATGTAGCTGCAGTCTCCAGGGAACTCATAAATCACACCATCAAATGTGTGTATGTGCTGCCGGCTAAACAGACTACAGCGACCAGACCCCTCCACTGACAACAAACCTACAGAGCAAAGCGGTAAAGCGAGTCAAGCACTTGCACACTTGCTGTTAATCAAAGCAACAACTAATGTTTAAAAGTTAGGGGTCGGTAAGATTTTAAAATCAACCAAGCCTGCATTTATTTGATCAAAAATATAATGAAAAAAATAATAATATTGTAAAATATCATTACAATTTAAAGTAATTGCTTAATATTTTAATGTAAATAAATTTTTTATGTAATTAAATTAATGTAATTTATTCTTGTGATGGTAAAGCTGAATTTTCAGTGTCAAATAATCCTTAAAAATCATTCTAATATGCTGTTTTGCTGCTCAAGAATAACACTTATTATTATTATTATTATTATCATGTTGAAAACAGTGGTGCTGCTTAATATCTTTGTTAAAGCCTTGATATCGTATTTCAGGATTTAATTCTGAATTAAAAAAAAATTGGTAACACTTTACTTAAAGCCTATATGCATAATGCATTAAAAAAATCGTAATGCACCTTATAATGCATTGTACTCATTTCAATTCATTCATTGTCAATTCATTGTTGCACTATGCATTTTAAATTTGGTTATAATTATTTCTGACAA